ACCTCTTTTTAATATCAAAATACTTGGCATAAAGCAATATGGATTATTGACCTTGATGAAGTGAAAGATGTTGTCAAGTAATGATATTTTAAAAAGAGGTAGGATTTGATAAAATATTAATTTGTATAATATCTATTATTATAAATATAATAATTGCTCTAAAGCCTACATAATGATATTAATATGATACAAAACTTTTATGTGATAATTTAAGATCTTTTGATAAAATGTCAAAGCGTCATTTTTTTTCGCAACACTGTATCACATGACTGATGTTACATTAAAACAAACGCGAGTTGTATTATTATTATGTACGACATACAAAATAATTATATTTTTCCTCCAAAAGAAATAAAATAAATGGAATCACGATTATCTTTACCAGGTACAAGAATCAGCTACTTGAACAAAGAAAACGACAGGAGAACTTCCATTGCTACTACAACAAAAAAATCACCATTTGCCACTCGCATTGCTACTCCATCCACAACAAGACCTATTTTCGATCGTACTACTGCTAATCATACTTCTGTAAAAACACCTACGAAACTACCGTTTGTTTCAACAAACAAATCACCTGTTTACACCAAAATTAGAAAATCACCAGTTATTTCACATGCGTCCACTACTGCCAATACTGCTAATGCTTCTAATACTTCTACTACTGCTACTGCTACCGCCATAACAAAACCACAATTTGTTTTGCATGATTTAACAAAACCACCAATTGTTGCACGTAATTCTACTTTAATACCATCAATTTTCACAGGTACAACAACTACTGCTCCAACAAATTCACCATATGTCACTCGTAATAATACTGCATTAACATATTCACCACCATTTGATACTTGTGCTACTATTTCTAAAAAGAATTCGCAAGCTTTTAATCGTAATACTATTACTACTACTAGTACTTTTTCAACAATTGAATCACCAGTTATTAATCGTACTGTTGCTGTTTCAACCAAATCACCACCTGTCACTCGTCGTGCTTCTTATATACCTACAACAAAATTGCCAGTTATCACCTATTCAACAAATTCACCCTTACCATCTAGTCGTATTAAGATTGATAATATCTCACTCAGTCCCAAAAAACGTAAAAAGGTCGTTTATGATGATGATAGGAGCCCACGCAATGTTCGTCCAAAGAAATTTGAGAGTTTTGTAAATCAAATTTGGGAACAAAATCAAGAAATGATCATGAAAACTCAAAAATTAGAAAAAAAAATTCAACAAAATCGGATAAGCCCCAAGCAACTAAGTGAATGCCATCATAAACGTTATTTTATTGTTGCAAAATTAAAATAGCTTATATAAAATGTTGTATGTGAATTGAAAAATTTTGATTGGCTAATTTGAATAGTGTGATAACCACATTTCATTATATGATTTATTTGTATTTTGGATTCGTGTTTAAATTTATTTCTTTATTGAATAATAAATAATAACCAAACCTTTAAAAATATGAGCGTTGAAATTGGTACTAAGGTTGAAGGTGAAAGTCGCATTTGTCGTTCTCACTTAAGTCCTGATAAATTGATTGACTCACCCGAAGAAGGTGTTGAAACTCTTTATGATGTGTTAAAAAATATGGTGATAGGAAGAATGCTTTTGGTTATAGAAAAATTGAAAATATAGTTGAAAAAGAAATCACAAAAATTGTTGTAGTTGAAAAAAAAGAATTGAAAACTTGGAAGTATTTTCAATTATCCGGTTACAATTGGTTGACTTATAATAATAATGATATAGATCAAGAAATTAGAACTATTGGAGCCGGTCTGATAAAATCGGTTTAAATAAAGGATCTAAAATTACAATCTTTGCTTCTACAAGGTAATGAAAAATTTTGTTTATTTTATTATTATATATATATATATACACATTTATATTATATATGACACTAAATTTCTTATTATTATTAATATATATATTAGTGCCAATTGGATGCTTGTAACTCATGGTAAATATTGCTAATATTTGTAAATTATAAATAATATATATATGTGTAATAAAGTATTAATCCTATGAAACCATTTTAATCTACAGGTAGTTTTTCACAAAGTATGACTATTGTGACTGCATATGACACCCTTGAAGAAGAAGGTCTTCTTCATTCAATGAACGAAGCAGAAGTTAATGGAATGTTTGCTAACGCAGATTTACTTCTAATGGTTGAAAAGGTTGCTGGAAGGAGCCCAACTCTTAAATTTATAATTTATAATGGTGATGCAAAGGGGACAATCTTGCAAATGTTCATCCAGATTTTAGACTCTTAACATTGAAAGAACTTAAAGAGTTAGGCAAAGATCATTCAATAAATCCAAATTCACCACAACCACAAGATATATGTTGTATTATATACACTTCTGGATTTACTGGTAATCCAAAAGGTGTCATGCTAACTCATGCTAATCTCGTTGCAAGCAAGTATGTTCTTTTTTTTGATTTTTTTTTTTAAAAAAATTGATATATTTTCTTATTCTATTAATCCTCTCATATTTAGTTAGTTCAAAATGATGATTCACTTGTTGCATACCTTCCACTTGCTCATGTTCTTGAATTCGTTGTGGAACATGTATGTATTTGGTGGGGTGTTATGGAACAATTCATACTTTGACAGATGCATCAGCAAGAAATTGTCTTGGTGACATCCGTGAATTGAAACCTAGTTTATGACTGGTGTACCAGCAGTGTGGGAATAGATTAGGAAAGGCGTTCTTTCGAAAATTCATGCAGGCAGTCCAACTTTACAAAAAATTTTTGATATAGCTTTCACACTAAAGGTTGGTTAATGGATAAAGGATTACCCACTAGACCTTTTGACGTCTTGGTATTCAATAAGATAAAAGAACAAACTGATGGAAGATTGAGATTCGTGTTGTCACCCATTTCTAAGGAAACACAGGAATTTTTATATATAACTTTATGTCCAATATTGCAAGGTTATGGTATGACCGAATCTTGTGGGTAAGTTTAATCAGTTATTTAATTAATTAATCAATAATAATAATAATATTATCATTATTAATTCTGATTAATAATTCTATATTGTGTTGTTTTTAGTACGACTACAATTCTTATGTCAGAGCAATTTACTTATGGCAGTGTTGGAACACCAGCACCTTGTATAGAAGTAAAATTAGTTGCCGTACCAGATGCTGGTTATAAATCTACAAATACTCCTAATCCACAAGGAGAAGTTTGGATCCGTGGACCCGTGGTTACACGAGGCTATTATAAAATGAAAAGAAACATTTACAGAAGATGGATGGCTACAAACAGGAGATATTGGAGAATGGAAACCAAATGGAAGCCTACCAATTATTGACAGAAAGAAAAATTTAGTGAAATTAGCTCATGGTGAATACATTGCACTTGAAAAATTGGAATCAGTTTACAAATCAACCTTATTTGTATCCAATCTTTGTGTTTGTGCTGACTCGTATCAGTCACGTCCTGTAGCTTTAATTTTTCCTATTGAAGCACAAATCAGAAAACTTGCAACAGAAAAAAACATAGCTGAAACAGATTTTGAAGAGTTATGCCGAAATCAAGAAATAGCCAATTCGGTACTTCAAGCTTGTCTTGATAAGGCAAAGAAAGCGGATTTCAAACCTGCAGAATTTTTGTCTGCAGTTACATTAGTGCATGAAGAATGGACAGCTCAAAATGTAATTTAAGAAAAAATATCATAATCATATTTGTTAATGTTATTAATTGTTCGTTATATTTATATTATTGTGCTTTTTTTTTTTAAAAAAAAAATAGGGACTTTTGACAGCAGCACAAAAAATTAAACGCAAAGATCTTGAGCAAAAATATCAAGCTGATATTGATAGAATGTATGGCAAAAAATAAAAGATATCAT